GCGCCATGTCCATGCTAAGGTCTCTGCACTGCTTTGAACCACCCGTCCCGAGGCTGAAGAAGGCCCCGTTGCAGGTCCCGTTGATCACATTCCAGCCCCAGTTGTGTGCGTTCAGCGCCGACGCCCAGAACGACACCTTGGCAGGAGAGTGTCCCGGTGACCAGGGCAGCGAGCGAGGGGCAAGAAGATGATAGCGGCAGAGGCGACCACCCAAACTACAAGATGTGACTGCAAAACCAGCTACCCCATTACCTTAGCCCACGAGTACGAGTAGCCCAGCCCGAGCGATCCGGCCACGAGATGCGCCTCGGTCATGAAGCTGCCGTGCACGACGAGCCTCCCGTGGTTGATCACAAAGCTGGCATCCTGCGCGGTGAGGAGAGCGGGAGAGGATATGGAGACCGTGCTATGAGTGCCTCAGCCGCTACATAGGGAAGAGGTCGTGCGGACACTGTGACATGAGCAGCGTGCCCCCGACAGTGGCAGCTGCCCCCTTATGTCCTGTACTCAGCATTTGCATCTAGAGCTGGCATCCTCGATCTTCACGTTGACCGCTATTCTCGGAGCGGAGAATAGGTTGTACAAGGCGCCGTCCCTGCCGCGGAAGTCCGCCCTCCCGCCGTGCGCGAACTGCAAATGCGGGTCTCGATATATCTGCGCCGAATCGGAGCTGGACGATGCCGGGGGCGGCGGCGGGTGGGTGGTAACGACTGAGGTGCCGGCAGAGACATCGGCGGTCAGCGGTGTCGACAACGTAATGGGTAGGCCGCTTTCGAGACGGCGCTGGCGGGAACGCAATCCGAGCATGAGCACCTCAAGTATCATCCCTCCTATGTAGATGATACTTCCCGGGCCAAGGTCGGCGAGATAGCACTGGACGTAAATCACCAAATCGCCAGTGCTCGCATCCTCCGTCAGGGTCATCTCTGCTCCGTCGGAGCACGTCGGAGGAGAGGGAGGTGGAGGAGGCAGCGAAGTGCCCGGCGGCAGTGGCAGCGGCGACGGTGACGGCGGCGGCGGTGACGGATGCGGCGGTGGTGGCGGGCTCTCACAATCGAAGTGGTCGCCTCCTACGTGGATACAAGGCGCGGCAGGGGCAGGCGGGGGCGAGGCCGGCGGCTGATGCTCTCCGCAGTAGAACCAATCTCCCCCGTACGCCTCCGTGTTGACGCCCGAGAAGTGATCGCCGTGCGAGCACGGCAGTGACTCCGCCTTGCACCATGCGCGGCCGTCGCCATCGCAAGCGTTCGGCTCACAACCGTATTGTGTCTGCTGGCAGCGGACGCTGTCTGCAATGTCGGACGTCCACTGCGCGGCGCAGACGCACGGCGGAGCGCTACCCGGTGAGTTCGGTGGCCACGGCGGTGGCGGCGGCTTCGGTGGCGGCGGTGGCGGCGGCGGTGGGGGGAGCGGCCGCGGAAGCGACGGAGGCATATTTGGCGGCGGCGGCGGCGGCATCATTGTGCAGACAGACCCCGAGTGTGTGACATAGTTCACCTCGCTGATGTGAGGACCTGGCTCGGCTCCCTCCGACATTGCTCGTCGTGGGCTCCGCCGCTTCACCTTGGAGCCGACATCTGCCGACAGCGGCACAACGTCTTCACCTATGGGCCGTGACATGGACGCGTCATCGACGGGGTCATACGGACGCAGTCTTCCGACTGCGCGACTCCGCCGCCGTTGTGTACCAGCGCGACCACCCACATCGGCGGCCGAAGGGCGGAGCCGCTCCTCGTGTACGGGGGCGTGTACAAGCTGTCGTATGGGTTGTGCTGCACCCCTTCTTGTGTCCACGCGAGGTCCGAATTGACGTACCAATAAAAGGTGTCGCCATCGACGATCAGGGTGAGCTCGTCCGCCACATCCTTCCCCTGCTTGAGGAGCTGCGCCTCCTTGTTGGAACCCCAGTGGGCGTAGAGGTTCCCGTCTTCTCCGTTGCAGTAAAAGCCGGCGTCGATGGCAAAAGCATGCGCGGCCTGACCGCAGGCGTCGCTTTGCTGGCAGTCTGTGCTCGGTGAGGCTCCCGAGGCGGCGCCGATCTGATCAAACAGCTCCTTGAAGTCCGCGGTTGACGAGGTGTCCCAGGTCTCGGGCTGCGACGCTAGAGGCGCCCCGCTGATGCCCGCCTGCTGCAGCCCGACAATGACCTTGTTCTTCTCCACCTGTGAGCACAGTGGTGCGCATCTGGCAGAGTGCGTTCGTTGTACCTGGCTGGGCCGCTGAGGGGCGAGTGGTCACCGGGCACTTGAAGGAGATGCCGCCGCACCCCTCGCCGCCGACGCTGCACCGCGTATCGAAACCAATGCAGGTCCAAGCCGGGGTGTCGCTTTGCCCCCCCGTCTTGGTGAGCGACCCCGGACCGGTGCGGCACTTCTCCTCGTTGACGTACTCGAAGCCTGTTGAAGTCAATGGGCATGTCCCCGGTGCCGCTGGCGCCGGAGGCGAGGGCGATTGCGGTGGCAGTGCGGCGGCGCAGTAGAACCAGTCTCCATCGTACGCCCCCGTGTTGACGCCCGAGAAGTGGTCGCCATGCGAGCACGGCAGTGACTCTGCTTTGCACCACGCGCGGCCGTCGCCATCGCATGCGTTTGGCTCACAACCGTATTGGGTTTGCTGGCAGGCGTCGGTACTGTCGGACGTCCACTGCGCTGCGCAGGCGCACGGCGGGGCGGGCGGCGGCGGCGACAACTGCGCTGTCGCGCCAACCGTCAGCAAAGCGATCATCGCTGCACGGTTGCATGCCCGCAAGCTGGAGCCCCACAAAGACGTTTTTGCAAGTCTCGCCACGCCAGCGGGCGGTTTATGATTGCAGTCGACGTATACTCGTCACGCTGATGAGGATCTTTGTACTTAGTGCTTTTGTCTCTATTCTTTCTCGACCTCTATGTGCAACCTTGAGTGAGAGAGAGAGAGGAGAGAGAGAGAGTTAGTTTAGTTTAGTTTAGTTTAGTTTAGTTTAGAGAGAGGAGAGAAGGAGAAGAGAGAGAGAGAGAGAGAGAGAGAGAGAGAGAGAGAGAGAGAGAGAGAGAGAGAGAGAGAGAGAGAAGAAAAAAGAAGAAGAAAATATACAATAAAGGAGGGATTGAAAAGAAAGAAAAGAAAGAAAAAATCCGGCAAAGGGAGGATGGAAGGAAAAAAGGTTTAAGGCTCATACTAATAGTTGTGTCGAGCCTGTCTGCTGTGAGAGAGAGTTCTTTGTTTAAATACTAATAGTTTCTTCCGCCGTTGCGCGTTTTGTAACCGCATCATGAACTTTGTATCAGCAAGCGGAGCACGACGGCGGCGTGGCCTTGGCTGGCGGCGCCCATCAGCGCGGTGACGCCTTTGCTGTCCTGCAAGTTGACATCCGCGCCGCGCTGCAGCAGCAGGTCGACCACCCGCTCGTGGCCAAACTGGGCGGCGCCCATCAGCGCGGAGAGGCCGCTCACATCGCCTGCCCCGCACGCGTTGACCCGCCCGCCGCTGTCGAGCCACGCCAGCAGCGCCGCCTCGTCGCCTTCCGCAGCTGCTAGCGCCGCCTCTTTGGGAAGGCTGCCCAGCAGGCCGGAAGAGGCCGCTTCGCCCGAGGAGGCGCCGCTCGCGACGGACTGAGCCGCCTCCCATGGTTGATCCTGTGTCTCACACGCGTGAAACCCATCTTCCGGTCCTCAAAATAAAAAGGATTTTATAACAAAACTCCCTCGTCCAAACAAAAAGAAAGCGAACGAGCACCGAGCCGCACCGACCAGAGTAGGGAAAGTCCTTGGATCTTTTTACGAGTACGATTGTGAGCGCACCCGCTCATAGTCCTACAAGATGTAGCTTGTAGGATTGCGCTGCTCGCAATCGGAGGCATGTTGCTAGGATTGTGAGCTAAGCTGCTCGCAACCCTAGAGTTTGCTCGGATTGTGAGCGCGCTGCCGCTGGTAGTAGTCGTAAGCGTCACCAGTCACCTTGGGAGCAGAGCTGCTCTTAGTCCTAGAAGACGTAGGATTGCGAGCGAGAGCGTGGGTGCTCACAATCGCCGCACAGAGATGCTACGACTGCGACACGATTGCGAGGAGTGCTGCTCACAATCCTTCGACTTCTAGGATTGAGAGCGAGCGCTCTCATTCCTAGCCTGGTAGAAAAGAAGCTAGACGAGGTTCCCACCGGCCGTGTCCGACAGCGGCAAGGACGGTCTTTTCCCTACCTTGGTGCTGTCTTTTTACCAGCGAGCCGTCTTTTTCCAGGTTGCAACCCTTGTTCCGCCGCACTGACGGCTGTGAATTTAGCGGCAACCAACAGCTCTCAGCCCCCCCGGTGCTCGCGGTGCTGGGGCATACGGGCTCGCCGGGGGGGGTAGACCCGTCGCAACAACAGCCGAACTATCATGAACCACGACAAGGAGGACCACGCCTCCCCGAGCTCGATGAGGAGGCGGCGGAAGGGGTGGGCGAGCCGAGTACGATAGAGAGACCGCGGATGCGAGCGCGATTCGTCGACCAGGGAGACGGCTGGCCCGACCTCCCGGGGTCCCGGGGAGGTGCGGCGAGACGACCTAATGCTGCCGCCCTCGCCCGGCGGGGAGTCGGGCACGGGATCGCCGTCGGCGGAGTCAACGAGATCAGGCAGAGAAGGCAAGACGGCGACGGGGCCGCAGCCGCGAAAAAGGCTATAGGAGGGCAGCGGGCCCCGCAACCGTCGCGTGACCAACGGAAGGCGAACAGGAAGGAGGACCGAGGCCCGAGGGGAGGGAGGAGCCCCTTCGGAATGGGGGTGTAAGGAGGCCGTCTCGGGTCCGGGGTCGGCGCTCGCGGCGTGTTTACGTTACTTTTATTTTATGGCTCTTTCCCTGCGAAAGCGCACCCCCTCGAGCGACGCACCCCGTCCCCGCGCCCAGGGCTAGAGCTCTCTTGTGCCCGCAACCCGCCCCCGAGCATCTGGCCCGCTGGGTGCGATTCTTAGCTCCCCGGCCCTGAATGTGACGGGCTACCAACTGCACTCCAAATGCTCCAAGACGGTGGACATGCTCGACGGCGCTAATCGTTGTCGACATCCCCGCCAGCGCCAAGCGCCAACGCCGCAGGGTCATCCTCATAAATCCCACCCAGCTCCAGTAACGCGGTCTTGACCAGCCCGGCGAAGCCCTCGGTGCTCTTGAGCGGCTCGAGCAGGCCGCCGTCGGCGCCACTGTCGTCCTCGAATTCTCGCTCGTGCAGCGCCAGCCCATTCGCGAGCTGCTGCGAGAGCAAGCTGATGCGTTCGGCCTGCTGACGCAGGTCCGCCGCGCTCTCGAGGCGCCGCGCGCGCAAGTGCAGCGCCGCGCGAAGACGCGTCACATCGGCGTCGAGCTCGAAGTCCTCGAAGTCGATGGGCTCGCCGGCGTGGAGCTGATAGTCCAGCATGGCCCCGTCATCCGCGAGGGCGCGGCACTCTTCCACCGTCTCGCGCAGAGCGTCGCAGCGCGCGATCAGCAGCGCGAGCGGGCCGCGCCGCGCCTCGGCTGCTGCCTCCTCCTGGAGCGCCGCAAGATGGTGCTTCAGCCGCTCGACGAGCACGCGCCGCTTCGTCGCCAGCACGCGCCCGAGCACCTCGGTGCGGACCTCGCTCAGCCGCGCGTGGATCAGCAGGCGCTCAAGCTGCCTGAGCACGTGCACCGTTTTGGTGGCGGAGCTCTCGTAGTCCCGCATCGCCTCGTCGAGCGCCGCATTCACGCGCGCGCCCTCGGACTCGCAGCTCATGCGGAGCTCCTGCTGCACGAGCGCCACCAGCCGCGGCAGCCGCGGCGCCGGCGCGGCCGCGTCCAGCTTGTCGTCGGCGGGCGCGCGGAAGGCAAAGGTCGCCGACGCCACTTTGGTCATGAGGCGCTCGGCGAGCTTCGGCAACGCCTCCCACGCAATCTTGAAAAAGATGTCGAAGCGCGCGGGCTCATACGGACGCGTGGGCACCTGCACGCGCCACTCGGGGCTGCGCTCTGAGCCCTCGGCCAGCGAGCGGACCTGCCGCAGCACGCGGCGTAGCTGGGGCTCGCGCAGCGACCTCCAGATTGTGACGCCAACCGGGTAGCTGCCGACCTCCTCTGGCGCTTGAGCGGGCTGGATGCCTTTGGCCCACTGTATCGAGATGAGCTTGGCAGTTTCGGGCCACGACACTCCCGCAGGTCCGTACTTGGAGACCTCTGCCTGCGTCGGACCTCTGGTCACGGCCTCTGTGATGAGGGTTGGCGGCGGCAGCAGCAGTCCAGCGATCGGATCGTTGAAGACGGCACGGACTCTCCGGCACGTTCCTCTGAGACGCCATCGGCCAGTCAGTGGCGGCAGCGCCTCGCCAATGGCGACGAGGTCGTCGTGCGAGAGGTCGTCGAAGGTGGTGGGCATGTGGCGGGCTTTGAACGCTGCTTGCCACCCAGCTTTCTTTGTTTTGTGTCGAACCTGTGTGCTGTCGCGCTCGAATTCTTTGTTTTCACGATGGTGTCTCTCGACGCGCACCGCGCCACCGCCCTTGCCAGACGGGGCGTTCCAAGGCCGCACCTCTCTCGTCTCGGTTGCCTGCCCGAGCGAGCAGCCTCGTCTCCATCGGCGTGGGCGCCTTCTACGGCTGCTCCTCGCTCGTCTCCATCGACCTCCCTGCCACCCTCACCTCCATCGGCGACGGCGCCTTCGGCAGCTGCTCCGCCCTCTCCTCCATCACCTTCTCTGCCACCCTCACCTCCATCGGCAACCGGGCCTTCGAATGCTGCTCCTCTCTCGTCTACATCGACCTCCCCGCCACCCTCACCACCATCGGCGGCAACGCTTTCGCCCGCTGCTCCTCCCTCGCCCGCGTCATTCTCCCCGCCGGCCTCACCTCCATTGGCCACAACGCCTTCGACAGCTGCTCCGCCCTCACCTCCATCCACCTCCCCGCCGCCCTCACCTCCATCGGCAACGGCGCCTTCTCTGGCTGCACCTCTCTTGCCTACGTCGCCTTCCCCGCCAGCCTCACCTCCATCGACAGCGCCTTCTGGAACTGCTCCTCCCTCGCCCGCGTCACCTTCCCCGCTGGCCTCACCTCCATCGGCAGCCTCGCCTTCGCCCTCTGCTCCTCCCTCTCCCGCGTCACCGTGCCAGACACAGCCACGATCGGCGACGAGGCTTTCGAATCTGAGACCACCGTCCTCCGCCTCCCGCCCGCAACGATGCGCTGGTACGAGGCGGTGGACGGGGCTCTGGCCTACAAGCGCTTCGCTCTCGAGCACAAGGCTGGCCTTCTTGGCTGGCTAGAGCGGGCCCAGATCAGGCTCGGCTCTTACGGCCCGGACGGCGCGGCGCGCAAGCGCGACCGCGAGGAGTTTGAGGGCGACTTTGGGCACGGCGCTGCGGCGGGATCGTGTGTGAGAGACTGTTGAAATTACGTTCACGGTTACGACCACACGGGCGGCACTAAGTGCACGCCGGTTGTCATCAGCGGGCTCAAGAGCCGGCCGGATCTAAACGGCACGCGCGCGGCCGTGCTCTCCTACGAAAAGGGGAAAGGCCGCTACGCCGGTAGCGGTACGCGCGGTGTGGACTAGGTCCAGCCCTGGGTGAGCCAGATCTGACGTTTTGGGACATCGCGTCAGATCCGTGTTTTTCTCGTTGTTTTGTCGCTCGCTCCGCTCGCCACCTCACGCTCCGTAGCCCGGCCATGGCCAGTACCCCGCGTCTCAGTGAGACGCGTGGTACCATCCAACTCCGGTCGACGGGCTCGAATGCGCTCAGCCTCAGGAGGGACAAAACCGCGCGAATTCTGCACGCCTCGCTGCACCGCTGGCTTGACTGAATCAGGCAGCAGCAGGCTGCCGCAGTACCGGCACTACCGGGAGAACTTGGCGGGCAAGGAGCTGGGCTCACTTCTCATGGCGGGAACCGGCTTCGGGGCGGCAGGGCTGGCCTGTCTGATGGGCGGCGCGCCGAGCAAGCCTGCGAAGATGCCGTCGTGGCCGTACTCAAATCTGGGGTCGCTCGGGAGTCGGGACAGTGCCTTCACAAAGGAGCTTCCATTCGACGAGTGCCGGCGGCGCGGCGAGGGAGAGGAGGGGGACGAGGGTGGGGATGCGCCGAGCGACGAGAGCGACTGGTGATATTGCGACCAGGCGGATTGCGAGAGGTAAAGGTAAGGTAAGGCAAACCGCGGATTGCGAGATGCACAGATCAACGCGGCAGCCGCGGCACGATAGGCCGGGCGCCGGAGACGCGAGAGGGTCGAGCCCGGCGCCGCGCTGCCAGCGAAACACGCACGATTGTTGTTGTATATTTATACATCATTTCTGGGGGGCGGGCGCCCACGCGCCACGGCCCGGCCCCTCTCCGGGACCGCGGGTCGACCTGGACCGGGCCCTTCTTAGTACTCCCCCTCCCCGCGCGCGTGCGCGTCCCGCAGCCGCAGCACGCCCGACTCGCTCAGCGCGCGAGCGAGCTCCGCCACCTCCTCCTCCTCGTGGCCGGCCGTGACGACCACCCTCAAGCGGGACGTCCCCTCGGGCACGGTGGGCGGGCGGATGGCGGGCACGAGGAAACCGGACCGCTGCAGCCTCGCCGACGCCTCGAGCGCCGCCGCCTCGCTCCCCACCTCGATCGGCACGATCGGGCTGCGCCAGCCGCACGCCTGACCAAGAAACAGCCGCAAATCGACAACACGGCAACCTTCAGCGGGCCTCGCGCGGCGCCGCAGGCCTGGCGAGGCGCGCTGCCGATGGCCGCCTCGAAGGCGCATACGCGCGCCCAGAGCTGCGCGCGCCGCTGCGGTGTGGCGAGGGCGAGAGCGGCGTCCGCCGCCGCCACCGCCGGCAGCGGCAGTGCGGTGGAGTAGATGCCTGCTCGGCCGCGCGAGAGGAGGAGCTGATGCAGCGGCGAGGAGCACGCGACGAAGCCGCCGTGCGCTCCAAACGCCTTTGAGAGGAGCCGACAGGTCACCACTGCGAGGGTCATCGGCCGAGCGTGGACTCGTCGCTACGGAGACGCCTTCGAGAGGGTGCCGACTGAGACGTCGACGCGGTCGGCGACCCCGGCCTAGAAGGAGCGCGCGACGAAGGCTGAGCGAGCCGCTGGAAGCGGCTGCCTCTCGGTGACCCTCTCTTGAGCCAAGCGCCGCCTGCTCGGCGACTCCTCCGCCTAACCCTAACCCTAACCCTAACCCTAACCCTAACCCTAACCCTAACCCTCTCTTGAGCCAAGCGCCGCCTGCTCGGCGACTCCTCCGCCGCCCTCGCCGTACACGAGAGTGGCGTGCGCCTGCGGGGGAGGCTCAGGGGAGGCTCGGAGACGGTTCCGCTACGTCTCGGGTATCTCGGTGTGCATCTCGGCCGCATCTCGGCCGCATCTCGGCCGCATCTCGGGCCGCATCTCGGCCGCATCTCGGGCCGCATCTCGGGCCGCATCTCGGGCCGCATCTCGGGCCGCATCTCGGGCCGCATCTCGGGCCGCATCTCGGGCCGCATCTCGGGCCGCATCTCGGGCCGCATCTCGGCCGCATCTCGGGCCGCATCTCGGCCGCATCTCGGCCGCATCTCGGGCCGCATCTCGGGCCGCATCTCGGGCCGCATCTCGGGCCGCATCTCGGGCCGCATCTCG